ATTATAAGAGAGAGTTTGACGCCGACCTTCGGGAGTACAAGCGGCTGTGTGCTGAGATGGACGACATTAACGACCGGTTGAACAAGCTCAGCCGGCAGCTGGACACGCTGGACGACACCTCAGCCAAATACCAGGTGAGATGAAACCTCTCCTCAGAAAGTCACGACACGGCTGAGCTGCACGAGCCTGGACACGGAAAGGAAACTAAAGCAGGATCATAGAGAAGCTCCCTCTCAGTGGAACTCATTTCACATAATAAATACAATCCTGGATCTGCAAAGACGACAAAACAAACATTTACATTTGTTCAATATTTGATGTATTTATTGTGTTTGTCACTTAAAACACTGCGATGATAAAGTCCGCCTTGGTACCTACTCGGATCGACTCGCCACAGTTTTCAGGGTTTTCCATCAGGTCATCGTACCTGCGATCCGAGCAGGTACTAAAATGTGATGTCGTCAGACTGCACGCCACTGATTGGCTGGTCAGGGGCGTTATTCACAGAGTCACGAATAACGCAGACCCACACAGACTAACCCGGAGTTTATATCGTCGCCTCAACGTTCGTGATTCATACTAATTACGCAGTCGGATGCGTTGCTATAACAACGATCACGCACATTAGCTGGTTTTCAGTAGTAATGGAAAACCAGTTGATCCGAGTAGATACTAATGGAAAAGCGTCTATATTAAGCTCCTAGAGTCACACGCAGGAGCTTTTTCCATCGTTACTCGTTGGCTTTTAGAAGCTGATCGGTCCCTCGCTGTTATAAACATACTAACGTTTCTGAGAATTGTTACAGGGAGTTATGCTAATATCAGAGTTTTTCATTAACTGTCAGTTTTTGTACAGTTCATTTCTCGGATCACAACTCAAACATGTCTGACTTTGTAGTCTCTCGACTTTGACCTGGTAACCGATCCATCGATGCTGCGCGACTTGGCCTTTATCGAGGGTGAAGAGTGACTCAGAGCCACTGTGTTAAAAAAGTCGTTGCTTATTAAGCTCTCTGTGCATAAAAGACACAAAATGTGAGCTTTAATGTTTCCTTTGTGTATGACGATCACACCAAACCTTATAAACCTTATAACCTCTGTGTTATTCCCCAGATTGTAGCTGAGGAATATAACCAGCTGAAGGACCTGAAGCAGGTGAGGAGACATATCAGACATTTTTTATTAACTCACCTAAAACAAACAGTATTTATTATTATTAAAGACCTTTGACCCAAACCTGTGTGGAGTTTCTGTTTTAACGGGCTTTTCTGTGCTGCGTCTGCAGACGTCCGACTACCAGGCTAAGAAGACAGCGTGCCGTCAGCTGAGACACAAACTGTTCCACATCAAACGCATGGTGAAGGACTATGACAAGAACCACTGAGGAGCACCCACTCTCCCCACAGCACATGATACACTCCAACATGCCACAAAGACTCTGCTGAGACCAAAGTTAAAGGACACACTCACGCTCACGCACACACGGGGAACACGCTGCAAGTTTAATGATCTACTGTAAACAAATAATCGCTGATTTTGGGAGAGAATAAGGGGAGGAGCCTCCGGCCTGTTCGGCCTCAGTGCTTGCAGGGTACGGCTACTGCTGAGGATCAAAGGCTGCGGTTGGAGAGAGGCGGTTTGAAGGTCACCTAATAATTAGTCGCCCGAGGTAACGCTTTGCTCGCTTCTCTGGTTTGCTCTACGATAGGCGACTTTTCTTTGTTTTGTCCTCCACAGATAAGAGTCGTGATGTTGTAGGCGAGCAAACACGCAGCCTCTGTGTGGCCGACGAACATTAGCTGAGGGTTTCTCACGTCGGTGTTCGTAACGACCTTAAATGTGGCTGAACTTAACACTTTTCTTTTACCGTTTTTTTGCTTTTGTCGACACTGAGATTTTTATATTTTTTTACAGATGTTGTGACACCAAAACTGGCCAACAGGCTGTGTGTGGCAGTGTTGTATTGTGCGTTCTTTTAACGAGTCGTGCTCTTCGTATATATCAGAACAAATTTACAGTTGGTCTCTAAAACCTCGAGATGCATTCGTGCTTGTACATACTGTAGGCTCATAGTTGTGTGTTTAAACTATGCAAATTAGTCAAATTAACCACAGTGTCTATGTTTTCATCACACTCCTGAAAAACCCGCCTCGCTGTTTCTGTCGATAAGCTGAACTCATTTGATTCTTTGCCAATGAAAACGAGCTTTAATCCTCAGCGTTTGTGAAAATCTACTGTACACCTTAAATTCACGTAGACTCGCTTGTGATTCGTCTTGCATTTGTATTTTTATGAAGAACATTGTTGTCATTTTAAAAACCATTTGCGAGCCATTTATTTTTGTAAGAATTTATTTTCTTTGACGCTATTATAAAAAGACCATTTTTGTAACTGTGTACCTCCATAAATGATGTTGTCTAAAAAGTATTGAATTTAGTGAATAATAAACATTTCTAATTCTCTATTTGCTCTGGAGTGCATGTGCAGCGAGTTCCCAGCAGGGGGAGCAGCAGCGCTGCTGATGCAGCAGTCAGTGAGACTAATGTGAGCTAATACTGCCCTCTGGTGGTGCGTTTCTGTACTTCATGCACTGTTCTGCTTCAGGTTTTAGTCAGATTTTTATTTCTGTTTCAAACTTTTCTCCACTTCTCTGCCGCCGGCTGGAAATCAGATTCTGGACAAATCCCGATTGATCCTAATCCGTTCCTATCATAAAGATTGGCTGTTGATCCATCAACAATCCTTCAGTTTCAGTACTTTTGCCTTGTGAAACGGCGCTCCAGCATGCTGGAAATTGCTTAGGCTACATTCACACTGCAGGTCTTAATGCTCAATTCTGATTTTTTTGTCTGCTTGTTCACACGACAAATAAAATGCGACAGCAAACGCGCTCTAGTGTGAACGCTCAAAGCGGCTGCATGCGCAAAAGAAGACGTCACACACAACGCGCTCTGTTTAGACGCAGAGCAAACAGTATTGTTTGACTCTGGGCCTTAATATAAAGACTTCGGACTTTACATTTCCCAATTTTGCTTTAAGTTACAAAGTTATTTTATTTACATTTGGCCTAATAATGATCCTTATTGCTGTTTTAGAGGAGCGGTGCTTCAAAGGATAGTTGCAGATTTCTGTCAGAATCTGCAGATTATACAGAACAAATAAAATGTTCACGTTTCTCCAACGTTGTCTTCCCAACAGTTTCACTGGATGGACAGGAAGCGTTCGCGATGTCTTCTCCAGCGCTGATAGTTAGCGTCTGTCTTGTGTCAGTGACGTAAAAGATTTAATGTGACGTGACCATCAAACAGTCGCTTTCTAAAACATCGGATATGTATCGGCTTCAGTACCACATACAAAAGTGACCCAGGTCGGATTTGTGCCGATCACACTGTCATACCATGATCAGATATGAGTCGCACAGGGTCAAAAAAATCAGATTTGATGCGTTTTCACCTGCAGTGTGAACGTAGCCTTAGACTGTCACCGTTTTAAAGGAGGATGTTTTTAGTCCCTAATAAGCAACTGGAGCGTACAGGCTTGGAGGACTGATAAGACTGGAACAGATCACTTATCACTCAGGCTTTGGCCCACTGGCTGATATCCAGCTTGGGCCAACACTGTAAATACAGACTCTTGTCCTGTGACTCTGCACACGATCGCAGGAAGATGTAAGACTGACGCGACAACGGACACAAAGTCTGGTCATGGCTGCACATTGTAACGTTTGTCACCAGAGCAACTATGCACTCGTCACCAACACTACTAAGGTTTGTGTTGCCACGTCCACTCACATAATTCTGTTTGTGTAGCAGTCAAGTGCGAAACAAGTTGGCCTGAGGGGCTCTTATGAGGTCACCGACACAACGTCTTCAGCTGCATTAGCCCATGCAAATCTGCACATGCTCTGTTCAGGCTGCAGGTATCAGTTATTTCCATCACACATCTGTCTTCAGCAGTTCATTTAAACCTGTCATGAGCAGCTGAATGAGTTTTATTGCCTCCAACAACCAGTCACGGCGCACACGAAACTCACGTCTGACCAGAATCGACTTTTGACCTTTTTGACTGTATTGTTTCACCTTTCTACACGTTGGTGTGAAATGTGGTCCTAATTAGTGCACAAATCAGAGACCGAATGAGGAGTCGCCAAGAATGAGGGACGAGCTCATCACTTAGTCCAAGTTTGTGCCAAATTTTGAGAAATTCTCATGTTTTCTGAGAGAAACCCCACCTCCTCCACCCCTGCATGTAAACATGCCTGACACAGTAGTTCCCGGTGATCTCTTCAAACATGTTACACATGAAGTTATTCGTCACGAAAGAAAACGCACCACTCAAAATAACGTATACGTTTATTTCCAATGCAAAAATAACGCGCGGGCGTCTTTTGCACGTTCCAGTTTTGCCGCAGTCACACAAAGATGATTCTTTTAAACGTAAAGCTACACAATCAAATCACTGGAGTTTACATCGAAGCGGTGAAGTCGTCTGACGGCGCGAGGGATCGTGGCCTCGCTCGCCTTTTTTTTAAAGGACATAACTGGAAATGTAAAAAGAACAGAAACGATCACCGACTCGTCGTCTTACTTCAGTTTGGCAAAACAAAACATCACAATGAGCTGCAGGTCGTCGCGCTAACACACCAATAACAAAGTACCTCTCACGTCAGAGCGCCGTTCACAATCATCTCGACACAAAATAATAACTCAAACCACATCTATCACAAAAGCACAGAATAATCAGCAAAGCGGGCGTCAACTGATTCAGTGTAGCTAAATGATCTCAAACAATTAAAGTCACATGAAACTTAACATTTTAATCTCTATTTTTGGCTAAGACCTGCCCGCTGGGTCTTGTCTGCTTACAGTGATAGCAGCGCCTTGATCCCTTTGTAAATATCTTTAACACACACACTTCTCTATACAATCTCCATCTGTCACCGATGTACAAAACATGAGGTAATAACGTCCGACTGGGATGCGCCCGTCCCGAGGAGCCCGGCTGTGTTTAAGTACATTCGCTTGATTTCTAACGGCAGCTTCTGCAGCGCCGTGTAATGCACTAAAAAGAAACAGTTCAACATTTTCTGCTGAAAAATGGTCGAGGAGGTCGGCGCCGCTCTCGTGGCCGTTTGAGGCTTCAGCTGCCGGCTTTAAGCTCAGAATAGAGACGAGAAAAGAAGATCGTTGGAACCTTCCAGCACCTCGTAAAGGGGCTAAAAAAGCTTGTTGTGCTGTCTGCTGGATTTGGTACCTTTGCACAGAGCGAGCTGAAGCTGCTCAGCTTCAGTCCTGAGTGATTACTTTGATCTATGTTGAACAGGTGTCGTATATACATCTGCAGCCTCCTCTGTGTTGAAGCGCTGCACGAGGCGACACGTCGCCGTCTTCACAAATGCTTCGTCTGGCAGCAAAGTCTCTTACTTCAGCACAAAACGTCACACAGCTTGCGTGCGACCTGCACGCCGCGTCCCGGCCACGGCAGCATACAGCAAGTGGCGCTGCTATGGCTTCGTTCAGAGCGCACTCTGGTTTCAAGTCACACTGGGGGCGATGGGGGAGGAGGTAGTGCCGGCACGTGGCCTCGCGGTAAGGAGTTTTACCGGAATGAGGGCGAGAGAGGTCTGCTGCAAACGTTCGAGACGATTAAACTTTCTTTTCCCTGAAAGCAGCTTTGGTGTCATATCGGGCAAACTTTGCAGAGCTAACGAGAGGAAAAAGTGACCTCCGCAGCTCTGAGTCATCTCAGTGCGATCTCACTCTCGCTGGCTTTACTGTCCCGGAGCGTAGGGCCAGCTGATGGAGCTCCCCGATAGCTGCATGTCTCGGATCAGCGTCTCGATCGGCGTCTTGCCCACCAGCCGCATGAAGAAGAGCTGGGAGATGAGGTTAGCCGGGACGGCGCGCAGCGCCGGGAGGCGCAGCAGCAGGCGGCCGAAGCGCTGAGGCTGGTTGGGGTACTGCAACCTCTCGTACTCCGTCAGGGCGACCTGAGCCTTTTCCTGCAGGGACTCCACGTGAGCCGGGTCTGTCAGACCACAAGCGTCTAAAGGCAGAAAAACAGAGGCCGTATCATCACCTGATGACCAGTGCAAAAAGTTCTGCTTGCTTTTTGTCTGAAAGTGTGTGAACCGACTTTAAAAATAGACGTTTCTGCTGCAGAGTGTGAAAAATGATAACAATCACTTCTGTGTTACTTGTTTACATTTTCCAAAGCTTTCGACTGGGCCAGATTGGAATCTTTTGGTGGGCCGATCGTGGTCCCTGGACCTTATGTTTGGCACCGCTGTTTTAAAGTCTTCTGTAAACAAACCTCAGAGATCTGAACTTTATTTTGGCCAGTTTGACATTTGTTTGTGTTTATTTATAATTCTTACACTTTACTACGGTGTAACCCAGAGTAAAATCCTGCACTTATTTCCTGCCATTGAACGCATCGCAGGTACATGACTCCAACCACATGACTTTGCTCAGCCAATCAGATGGCATGTGGGTCCTGTCCCGGCTTCCTCCTGTCAGATGCGTAGAGGCAAGCCAGGTGACAGAGCTGTTGCAGGTTTGTATTGGCAAACACTTGCTTTTCCTGTTTTAAAGCATTTCTTGTAACACCCACTAACTTATGCAACTTAGATGCTGATTACTGTGAGCCAGAGCCGTAGTGTTGTTGTGCACTGAACAGAACGGAAGTGGTGAGTTTGAACTTTTAATTGACTGTTTTGCTACCAGCTGACGCTAACTGGTTGCTGCAGGTCCAAACAATTTGATTTTGATTTGACCGATATTTGTTGAATAAAAAACGTTGTGAAGCTATATAGTATGTATATAGCAGTTGAAATGTTTCAGTTAAATTGGTTAAGTATACTGTTTTTTCATTTATTTATAAATTGTGTACACAGGAACAAGAATAACTTAATGTTTTTAGCTTAATTGGCTGACATTTTTGTATTCTTGTGATTTCTTTTTGGCCTTGTTTATTTAATGCAGGCCAGGTGAACCTTTTCGGGTATGAAAAAGGATGGCGAGCCAATGAGCGGCTAGGAGCAGGACTCATTCTGCAATTGAAGCTTCCACTGGTTGGGTAGGAAGCTATCAAAGATGACGCTCTGTCCCCATTTTCCAAATACACTGATTTCCACACTCATACACACCATTCCCCCCATTTCTGAACAATAGCGCTTGGACATCTCTCATGGACATTCAGATAAAACTCATGGACTTCAGTGTGGATCAGTGTTTTTAATGTTAACATGTGTTATTTATGGGGAAGTGGTTTTTTGAGAATCTATATTGCTTGGTATAAGCCAGAAGAATTTGCTTAGTTGCCTTTGTGCACCCCCACTGGGTTTCTGATTAATTGAATAGCTGCAGCAGAAGTGATTATTTAAGTTTTCCTTTTCTTTTCTTGTTATTTTTCTTTGGGGTTTGGTTAAATACACGGTACCTGCAAAAGCATTTTGTGTTGTGTGTATTTATTAAATCTTCTGATTAATAATAACCATAATATTTCACTCAATATCTAGCCTGTATTAATTCATTGGCGTTTCATCAGTGTTACAACTGAGTAACAGGATATCTGTGGTTTGGACTACTTGATGATGTCAGAGGTCAAATCAAAGCGTCTCCCTGAGACGGCGGTGATTTTATTTCTGAGAAACGTGTGTGACGCCTCCGACGGCTTTGTTTTGGTTCTCTGTGACCAAACCGTGGGCTCAGTTTACAGTAAAGAGATCGCGCCGCAGCGAGTTACTCACATAACCTCGAAAGAAGAAGATCCGACTTACCAGGAGAAAACAGCGCGATGGCTTTGAGGCAGCTGTACTCGGCCGAGTCCACCTGAAGCCTGTTCAGCTTTTCCACCTGGTCCTGGAAAATCCTGACCTGATCCATGAAGGACACGACGCGCTCGGCGGACATGGGAGACGAGTGAAAGCCGGCCGCCGCCAGCAGAGGCGCCATGTGCAGCGGGAGAGCAGACTGAGCCGCGTTAAGGATGAACAGCTCGCTCCAGCTCAGTCTCAGCAGCGCCACCTGTGGAGCGAAAGGGTCACTGTGAGCCACGAGCGTCTGTTGTTCAGTTTGACTGCAAGTCACCGCGCTTTACACCTGACCTGCTCTGAAACCGGGAGCTCCGGGAAGTACGGGATGTTTCTGGCCCACTCGATGGTGCTGAAGAGGAGACGGGCTGCCAGCTCGCAGATGCTGTCGATGCCCATGACGGAGGCGCCGCTCGCAGATGCCTGCATCTGTGCCTGGCCGTACGGCGCCCCGTAGCGGCTCGGGGGATACGGCTCGGCCCGGAGGAGCTGGGAGATGAGCTCGGACACCGGCTGGCCGTTGAAGTAGTCCGCCCCAATGTGACC